ATCAAATTGTCAAAAAATATTAATAATACATTATAATAAGTCTATAATATTTAATAATAAATATAATAAGTCAATCATATGTAATAATAATTTTGTGTTCATTGTAATAATATTTTTTTTTTAATTTCTATTATCTGAATTTTCACCTATTCGAACTATGCGTGGTGACAATCAATTCAGATTTCTACTGTATTTATAAAGATAAATATTACTCCATAAAACGTGCTATGTTGGAGTCCCCTCAAATAAATACTGTTAATAATAAAATCAATTATGTAAGTAATACAAGTAATAGTATTCGATACCACGAGTTATCTTAATCGTTCAATTACATGATAGTGATATTGAGAGAACCTATGTAGGTAGGTAAACCTACCAATCTAGTATTTGTTTTGACTTTGGAATGTGCACATCGATATACTCAGTGGCGCAGTTACAGGGACAGGAGTGTAAGGGGTTTCCATCCCTCCAAATTTTTTTTTAATGATATTTATTTATTATTTATTAATAATTACATACTATAGTAAAATTATATTTTTATTTTACTGTAATTAGGTATATATTAAAAATTGAGTAAAAAAATAATTTTCATATCATAAAATACGGGACATAATAATAATACCATTATAAATGTAATATTATTATATAGGATCTCGTATTAAGATATACTAAGAATATTATGAATTAAATCTTAAACAATCCTCCCTCGAGAAAAATATTGTATTTACGCCACTTGATATACTTGTAAATTATGCCGAAACAAAAATTATTGGAATCGAATCGTGTACGGATTTATGTTTCGGAATTTAGCTCTAACGTCTTTTCTACCGATAGTGAGTGTTGTATTGTAAAGTCTATGAATTAAAAGTTTCAGCGGATAAATAATTTACAATTCAGCCACATGTTACGAGTGATAAATATTTGTGGTGTTCAAAAGACAAACGACTTCTTTGATATAACCACTATATTCTTCTGTATTTGGAAATTCTAATTTTAGAGGAGTGTAGTGAATCCAACTATGCTATATAGCTCAGAGTGTTGGATGGTTGACAGAATAGAACAAAGTATGAGTGTTGCGGAAATTAGAATACTTAAATGAATGGAGTAATAAGAAAAAATAGAATAGGGAACGAATATGTGAGAGGTAGTATTGGTGTAGCGTTGGTAGGGGACAAGATGAAAGAAAATAGACTGAGATAGTTTGGGCATGTGATGAGGTGAGAGGAAAAAAAGCAGTAAGAGTGATTATAAAAATGATCGTTGAAGGGAAAAGGGGGAAGGGAATATCTAAAAGGAGATGGTTGGATACGATTAAGAATAATATGAGAGCTATTGGTATTTATGAAGGGGATGTAGAAAATCGAGGGGAAAGGAGGTTTCGGACAAGAATGGCTAACCCCAAATGGTTTGGAGAAAAACGAAGGGGAAAGAGAAGAAGAAAGTATTTTTTTATTTTATTCATTTCAGATAATTTCAAATATTCAACACTAATACCTAGTAAAATCATAAGAATTCTTCATTAAAATGTTTTTTTTTTTTAAAAGTTTTTCATAATATTATAATTTAAACAATTCTGTAAGAAATAGCAATTAATAATAAATATTTATTATCTACATATTTTTATATTTTAAGATAATTTTTCATTTTTTTTTTTTTTTTAGGATGTTTAGGTCATTTAAATACTAGCACTACTTATGACGGAACGTCAGTAATTTCGGGAGCTTTTTTTAACGTTCAAACAAAAATAAGGGCATTAGCATAAAATCCTTGTCCATGTATTCATTGCCATGCTCATAGGTTAAACCTATTTGTAGTTGATGTAGCAACAAATATTTAAGAAGTAGGTGAAATAATTGGTTTATTAAAAGCTATTTATGCGTTTCAATCGGTATCTCTACACTTCGCCATTAAAAGCCGTAACATTGTGAAACAAGATGGATTTTAAAACGCAGAGGTATAATTTTTTTTTTTAAAAATTTTAATGATATTTTAAAAGTTCTTAATGCATTTAAAGAAAGTCCTAAAAAACAAGAATCTGCTGAGGCAAAGGATTTGGTACTACAGTTCATCAAGTTTGAATATATTATAATAATTTTTTGTTTAAATGAAATTTTAAAAATCATTCATTGCTTATTACTTAACTTGCAATCAACTACTATAGATATAAAACAATACACATTGTTATTTGATGTAACAAAGCAACAAATTTCAGATCTACGTAATGATAAAAAATATTTTCTTCTATATGAACAATCATTAGTTATTGCTCAAAGTTCTAAAATACCTACAATGTTAAATGAGAATTTTTCATTGTTGAATAATTCACGACAAAATGCAAGATGCACTATGACGGATTACTATGTAACTATTAATAATGATAAAAGAAGAGTTTATTCATCCATATAATTAAAAATAGAATAAAAAAGAATATTTTATAATATTTTAGACGTAATATGTTTCGAAATGAACCAGAATTTTAATAAAAATGATAATATATACACAACTTTAGAAGCGGTAGACCAAACTTTAAAAACATTTTTAGATGATAAAATAATTTGCCATTATTTTGAAACATTTTCAACATATTGATTCAATTAATTTATTATTAAATTAAATTTCAATGTCAAAATCTTATTTTCTTTTGGTTCTGATCTTTTTGAATTTGCAACAAGAAGTAAATTAATTTAAAATTGGATTTGAATAATTAATAAAAATTGAACATGTTTTGGTAGTTTCAGTATCCAATGCCTCAGCAGAAAGGAGTTTTTTTACAATGAAATGAATAAAACGTATTTTAGATCAAGATGACTAGCCGCAGATTTAATAATTTAATATTGCTGTCAATCGACAGAGAAGTTGGACGTTCATGGATAATCCATCTGACGTAATTAACGAATTTGCTTAAATAAAAAAAAAGAAAATTAGAATTTTCTCTACAGAAATAATTTAATTTGTAAAGTTATCTTTTTTATTTATAACTTTTTTTTTATTTTGTAGTTCTGTTATTGATATGATTATATATTATGATATAAGTTTTAAAAGTAACGTTTTTGTTTTATAATTAAATTACATTTTAATCGATATTATTTTGTACAATTCAAAGTATTAATTACATAAATAATATGATATTCTGTTTATTTTTTAATTTATTAACAATATTTTAACATTCAAAATATTTATTGGTATTTGGTGACTTTTTTCGTAAAAATATCGGGCCGATCCAGAAAAAAACGTCTAGCTATGTCACTGAGCGACGCACATAATTCACGAGTACAATAAGAATATACGTAGTACACATGACGTTGAATCAACAGGTTGGAATTATAAGGTTGGATTAACGGTGGAATCGCGGTATCGATAAATCACGACTGACGTTTAGTAATATTTAAAAGTAATTTCCAATTATACCAGATGCAAATACCATTATGGTTATTTGTGTAATTTTACATTCTACACACAAAACGCCCCCATGTGTTTCAATGCTGGACGAGCACGCGCTTTGCAGAACAGTAATAATGGCCAATGATGGATATTTAATGCTTAAACTCAACATTATTCTATCTATACTCGTATATACTATTTCATCTGTTGATCATTTAATAAATTATGCATTTCATCGGCACAGTGTTTGTATGAAATTCATATTTAATTAATCCATAATAATGTATTTATAACATTATAAGTGTGTACTATTTTTTTTAAATATATTTTGAAGTACGGTTATTATTATTCATTCAAATATAACACTGAGTTTATAATTAATTTAGAGTTAAAACTCAAAAACTATACAACGTACCGTTTTTGTTCACTCATGATGATTAAAAACGATTTACGAAGCACGACGTTTCATAAATTACGTCCACAAAAGTAAAAAGCGTAATATATACATTTCAAATAAACTCGTTTCACCTTTCAACGAGTATAAAAAGTACATTTTATACTGCGGCACTGGTAGAATACTATTGTTTTCCATCAATATTTTCTATATATGTTGCATGTAGTTTAATTTAAAATATAAATATGCATGTATTATAGGTACTATTTAAAGAATAATATTTCCACAGGAGGATTTAACTACGAAATAAATCTTCATTTTTAATTATCACTGCGTAGTGAGTATATTTACTTAAACTTGAATGACATTTTATTTTTTAAAAATTTAAATCAACTGGATTAAAGTTATTAAAAAAATAGAAAAATTATGTGTATCGTATATACAATTATGTTTTATAAAACATTAGTTGTGTTGCTCAGGGTCGGCGCTAGCAAATATTAATAGGGAGGAGTAAGTTATAAATATAAAAATTTGATGACCACTTTTTAAAAGAAAATTCTACAATACCAATACTACTTAATTTATTAATGATTGTTGACCATATGAATAGATCATTCATAAGTGGAAGGGTATTGTACCTCCTTCCAAAAAAAACTACCCCTAATACCGGCCCTAATGATGCGGGATAGATAGGAATGAAACGATGGACAGTAGATGAGAATTATGAATGTACCAGATAATAAAGAGAATGCTAAAATTAATTTATATGAAGACTAGAAAATTATTGGCGTCAGACGTAGGTTGTAAAATCGCAAAAAAAATTATAAAATAGAAAACAAATTGGTTGGCTGTGTACATAAAAATAACTATAATAATTATAATAATTGATAATAACAATGTATAAATAAATAGTTTATATCTACGTAGAAATAAATAAATAGATAAATACGCGACCTGAAGTATTACTATACGTGTTATGTACGACCGGTTTCGAATTAAAAATTAAACATCAGTAATGCACAAAATCTTATTGATGATTTTATTAATCGTGACTTATATGATTTAATGTTTTAATGAATTTAATGAATTCGAATAAAACTCTAGTCCACGCATTTATTCATTTTTCTATAAAAACTATTTATTTATACATTAATTTGCGAGTGTTAACCATGTACTAATTATTTGGTTTGTAACGTAGTGGTCATGTTATCATAATTATGCTCACCCCTTATCAGGCGGCACTTTGTGTGCAGGCATGGCGGACGGCGGAGACGTCTGATTGTTGGTGGACAGCGCCTTATACCTGGCCTGCTGATCGGTGGGCAAGACGATGTCCACGGATCGAGACCTGAGATTGTTGGCCGGTTGACCGCTGTTGGGGTCAAGCAGCTGCGTGGGCGATACGGGCATCACTTCTTCCGGTTTGCCGGCAGGCGTGGGTTTGTTTATGAAGCACGAGTCCATGCTGGCGGCCCGGTCGCGCTTCAGGTCCGGTACCGTGAGGAACAGGTCACGCACGACCGCCGGGTCCATGATGTCGTTGACTGCGAACGCCTCCTGCCGCTCCAGTTTAGGTGACGTGATCGACCGCCGTCGGTTGCCCTGCAGGTACTCGTCCGGCGGCGTCAGCTCCAACGTTAGCGGGCTTTTGACGGCCGCCTCGTCCGACTCCACCGAAGACGTGGACGACAACGATGGCGTGGCAATCATAAGTCCGTTTAGCGTGGCCACGACCGGTGCGTGATGGAGCACGTCCGGCTCAACGGTGACGGTGATCTGACATGCGCGGTCGTCCTCGTCCTCCATGTCCTCGCTGGCCGACGTCGACGTGAATGACCTTTGGCTGAACCAGCCGACACAACAAAACGGGATCGCGATCAGTCATCGTTGTCGTCGTTCCTCTAGAGCAAGTCGTTTTTCAGTGGTCGGGTTTGGGCGTGGGGAGACGGTTTCAGTAGGAATGCGACCCGGAGGCGCTCCTCCGAAGAATCATTGATTTTTGCCGAGAATTTCAATCACTAACTTTAGTTCGGAATTTTTGCACTTCATTCGTGGGACATCAAAGAAAATATATGTACGACCACGTGCGTTATTGTATTCGAGATACCGAAATTAACAGAAATACGAATTCAGATGAAATAACTAAGGACGCCAAAGGAATATTAAATTGTATTCGTAATATTCTGTACATCAACAATAAAATAACGTAGGTTCTAGGGCACACATTTTTCTATACGTCATGATGTTTATCACGTAATATCTGCACAATAAATGGTGTCATACGTGTAATATTTCTACAATGAATACAAATGATTATGTACGAATGAGAAAAGAAAACTTAAAACGAGTGCGTATCCTTGACAAACGACCGCCGTATAATTTTATTACCAATCGTGTGATAAAGGAAAAGCAGCACCAACAACTGTGCAGAGGTACCACTATTGACGTCGTCAAATGAGGTATTCGAATAACTACGCAGTTGAAAATTTAATATTTAATAATAATATTATAATCACGAGTAAAGAAATTAATTTAATGAGAATACGAGAAAAACGTTTTTATTATACCGACGCTGAATTATCTGCCGTGGTAATACTATACGGAATTGTTATGAACATCACGTCTTCTTCAATAATATAGAAACCACGACAGTACGACGAATGGAAATCGCTGGAAATATCAACGGCAATATACACGTAAATATATTTTTATGTAGAATATCATGTCGACGCGGGTCGGTTTGTCATCGTGCCCTGGCTGTTTCGGTATTCAGATAGCATAGGTTAAAATAATGTATTCTTTACGTCTCGATAACTCAGAAATTCAGCAATAGAAAAAAAAACATTTTGATACTTTCCGTCTACCTAAAATAAATAAATGTATATATTACATAGAACGTTTCACGGAAACGTTTATTTACGAGGGTTGTTTTTCCGATTTCTTTGTCGGACGAATAGAATATGGATACGAGGGGTAAAAAAACAACAGAAAAAGCACCGAAAAATCGCACATTCGGAAAAACCGTGCAGCACATGGTCTTTTTCAATGTTTACACCTTTTACGTATATAAAATAAAAAGAAAAAAAAAACGTTAACTACCACGGGTCTGGAAAGTGTGAAAGGGTTCCCTGGTAAATCTATGACTTTTTCCTCGGCATCCACATTATTTATGTCCTGAGAGCCATTGTTATTTTCGGACCCGCACGAACACGAGCCAACAAAGGACCGACGACGGCCGCGTACTCCGAGTACGACGACGACGTGAGAGAACGGGCAGCAGCAACGCATTTATTACCTCTGATTCTCGTCGCCGGACGACGATCTGTTCATTTTCGACAGTTCCTCGAGATAGGCGCAGTGCACGCACGCCGCGGCGGCCGGTACCTTCTCGCCGGACGAACGGCGCCGGTGGAACAGCTGGTGCTTGGACGACGGCACCTCCAGGTAGACGCCCGGGTCGTCGCGGTCACGGTCGCCCGACGGTGATGGCGAGACGGCCGCGGCGGTGGCGGTAACCGCGGCGGACGAGTCGAAGCTTCGCGACCGTTGCCCGGTGCCGGTGCCGCCGCCGGCGGGCACGCGCAACGACGACGCCCCGGACGAACGGCCGCCGTCCGTCGCCGCAGACCGTTCCCTGCGCACGTCATCGTCCCGTTTGGCGCACCCGAGCTTGATCTCGTCGAACGACACCGATCGCACCTGCTTGGGCACTTCCAGGCTGTTCTGCGTCTTCATCTCCGCGCCCGTCGGCGTCCGCGACCGTTTGAACGTCGACCGCAGACGGTCCATGACCGCCGTTATGTTGGCCGTGGCGCCTGTCGCATTACAATACACACGTGACGCGATGTTTACACGCGCGTACCGACAGACAGACACCGGCGGTTCGGCGGCTGCCGGACCGCGCGGACTCTCGTTCTATCGGCAATACAACACGATCGTACAGTTACGATCAACAGTTACGATAACGATTTAAAACGTAACGGGAAAATGTAAAACCAAAACGCACGGAAAATGTCACTTCATTCAAACGCACCAGTAGGAATGTGTAGAGCGCGCGATAACAATGGCAGTACACGCGCACACGAACGTTGTCCACGTCGGTTTTGTGTCGCAGCAATAACGCCTGTGCACCAGTGTCGCGTTATGCTATGTAGCCGACCCAGGGCAAATTAAAATTTGCCGCCCTTAAGAAAATTACAATTCAAAATTATAAACAACACGCTATAAATTACAGTCAGTAACGTATTAACGGATAGGATAGAAGTATACTATGCAAGAGCATTAAATTTACATACTACTAATATTCATATTATGGTATATTTTAAGTAGCACATTATTACATATATTTAAATTTTATAATTATTAATTATACCTCACATATAAATTTAAAAAATTACCAGATGTGACAAAATATAATCATTCATTACTTTTTATACTACTTTTCTTATATATTAATTTATTTCTTGATTTGATGGTCGCAAATTGGTGAATAATTTCTGACCGATCAGTCTGTTTTAAAAGATCATCTTCTATGTTTAATATTGAAAACGATGACGTACAGTCATACAAGAAAATATATAATTATGAATTTTCTATTTTATGTTGATCCTCAAAAATTTACTGCTCCATCAAACATCTTAAAATTTGCCGCCTCCGGGCAGTTGTCTCCCCCCCCCTTTTGCCCCCAGTAAAACGCGGCTTTTCTAGGTACGAGTGCACAATAGACCAATGCTTTCGAGCCTAGGCTCAGACAAGCGCGCCCCTTCTATGAGATTTCTCTCCTCGAAGGACACGTTTCATACGGGGCGATGATTCACACGACCCGGGCGGATTGACGCCGCTTCCCGCCGAACTGCCGACTTTCGTACCGTTAAGTCTTGGGAGACCCCAGGCGTCCAGTGCTCGCCTGGTTTACCTAGCGACGCCACAGCCCCGTCAAGAGGTACGAGTGCACAGTGAAGCAATTTAACGCGCGCGCGAATCACGAAAACTTCCGTTGTTTCCTATCGCGTCCCATGCAAAGAGACCGGTGGAGTTTTTGCGCTTAATGATTTAAGGGGGTAATATTATTTTGGTAATGCGTTATAAAGTGATTTATCGATAAATATAAATCGCTTTACCAATTTACGAGTATTTAATTTTTTTTTTTTTAATTTTATTTAACACATTCATATCTCATATGTTATGAATTCCGCATTCTGATTCTTCTGAACTCTGGTCGTATTGATTATCAAGGCTGGGAAAGTGTATTGAATATTTGTTCAATTAAGTTAACAATTAAGTTAATTCACATGAAAATTACACCAAAGAAGTTAAAATAAAGTTAAAAAATAACTTAAGTTAACAATTAGTAAGTTAAGTTAATTACAAAAAAAAATATTTACATTAAGCGCTGACATAAATTATATATATATATAAATCTCATGTCACAGTGTTTGCGACCATACTCCTCCGAAACGGCTTGACCGATTTTAATGAAATTTAGTATATACATTTGGTAGGTCTGCGAATAGGTTCATATCTATTTTTTAAACTCCTAAGTGCTATTGTTTAATACATCGTACCTTAATTTAATAATTTTTGACCCGGTCGATAACTGCGCAGTTGAAAATTAATTATTAAATGATACTATTAAAAAACTATTAAAAACGATTTAATTATTTTTGGTATTAAATGAAACTAGACTGTAAGTACTTGAATTTGTATTTGAATAATACTAACACGAACGTGTTAATAATTAATATTCTGTCTTATTAATTTTTTCGTTATCAACTTAATGAATTACTTATATTTGTGAGTTTTGTACAGTGCCAGCAAGATACAGAGGAACTTCTTTAAGTCGTAAAATACGTAGATTTGAGTACATGCGAATTACAAGAGCCCAAAGAACAGAAGACCAAATCCAACAAGATAATACTAATGTGCATGTGAATATAGCGTGATTGCGTTAAGCTGCATCAAAAGATGCATGAGCTGAACGAAATGAACAAAGAAGATAAGAACTAGGGCAAGCACGCCATTATACAGTTAGCAGACACAGAGCAAATGACCGACAGCACCAATAGGTGCATGGATTATTTACTTCTGATTCATTCCTACGTCTAGCATTCGAGTATGAGCCTGATATTCAATATTACACTCATTCAAAAGTGGTAATTGGTGCTATGAATAAAGAATGTTTGCACTGTAATGCTCTTAAGTTTAAAAGTAAGCCAACTGGGATGTATTGTTTGTCAGGAAAGATGCAATTACCTCCTCCGGTGAATAACAACGATTAAATAACACTTAACCAAATTAGCCGGCACGTCAGCTCCAATGAAGCTGTTTGGCATATTTTTGGTTTCTCAATTCATGAATGGGATCCAGCAGTTCTTCATTTAGCTGTTCATCTAGAAAAAGGACAGCGCAAGACAGCGATCGATCGTGCTATAAATCCATTAAAAACTACTCTCACCGAATGTTTTAAATTTTGTAATCGTGTGAATGCTTTTGTACGGGCATTACTCTATTCAAAAGTACCGCGCTATTTCACATGGACTCCAAAAAAAAAAAAAAAGGAAGGTCCTGCAAGCAAGGCACGCCGATTGATGCATGTCCCGGTTAATTAAAATCAAACACGTTGGGGCGAGTATTTATAGTCAGTCCAAGGCAGACTGAGTGCTTTTATCTTAGACTGTTATTGATTAATGTCACCGGCCCATTTTCATTTCAAAATATACGTAAAGTGAATGAGCAACAGTATCCAACGTATAAAGATGCATGCCATGCATTCGGCTTGCTGAAAAACGACAACCAGTAGGAATATATGCTTGCTGAAGCAAGATTGAACTGTACAGCAAAACAAATTCGTCTACTATTCGCTATAGTATTGACTACATGTTTCCCGACCTGAGCAGAGACATTATGGTATAATATAATCACAAAGATTCAATGACTGATGATATATTGCATCAACATCGTACACGGTGCAATGATCTAACGATAGTATACAGTGACGCTATGTATAGTAAAGCATTGATTGCTATTGAGGATCATTGCATTACCATTGCCAACTTACCATTCAGACATTTCGATATGCATTCACCAAATCGAAATGCATCTGATTTAATAAACAATGAATTGAATCGTGAAATGCAATACAATATTGTGGTAATGGTAGCGATTGTTGCTCGCAACGTTCCACTAATGAATGAAGAACAAAGAAAAATTTATCATGCTTGCAGTTTTGGCAGGACAAGGTAGATTCTTTTTTTCTTTTTTTTTTATGCACTAGGTGGAAAAACATTCCTTATTTCGATCATTCTCGCCGAGATAGGTCAAATAACATCGCATTAGCTGTTGCATCATCTGGCATTGCGGCAACTTTATTGGAAGGAGGCAAAACAACTCATTCGATATTTAAACTGTCACTAAGTATTCAAAATAACCTAGACGCAGTGTGCAACATAAAAAAACAATCGTCCATGGTCGCAGTACCGAAACATTATAAAATGTTCATCTGGAATAAATGCACTATAGCACAAAAACATTCGCTTGAGGCGTTCAACAGGACATTAGAAGATATAAAAAACAACGACCAACTTTTGACAGCGCTCTGTTACTACTTTCAGGTGATTTCAGACAAACACTTCCCGTTATTCCGCTTTCAATAAACGCTGATGAGATCAACGCGTGCTTAAAATCATCGCCACTGTGGCGTAATGTTGAAAAAGTACAATTGAAAATAAATATGCGCATTCAAATGCTACAAGATCCATCCGCAGAAACATTCTTTAAACAATTATTGTTAGATATCGGTGATGGGAAAGTTACCACAAATGAAACTGGATGCATAAAATTACCGACTGATTTCTGCACAATCTTTGATTGTGCAAGATGCTCTCATTGACCAGATGTTTCCCAATGTATATAGACAATACAAAAAATCATGAGTGGCAAGCAGAAAGAGCAACTTTAGCAGCAAAAAATGTGGACGTCAACGGATTGAATCTTAACATACAACATTTTTTACCAGGAGACTTGGTGTCATACAAATCTATTGATACAGTTAGTGATGCTACTGAAGCTGTAAATTATCCAACAGAGTTTTAAACTCTTTAGATTTACCAGGCAAGCCACCGAATAATTTATAACTGAAGGTTGGAACTTCTGTTATTTTGCTTCATAATTTGAACCCATCACGGTTGTGCAACGTCACGCGATTTGTCATTAAAAAATTAATAAAAATGTTATCGAAGCCATAATTTTAAATGGCAAATTCCGAGGTGAAAATATATTATTACCGTGAATCCCTATTATACCCACAGATATGCCAATACAATTTAAACGCCTTCAATTTCCAATTAGATTGGCATTTGCAATAACTATCAATAAGTCTCAAGGTCAAATGATGTCTGCCTGTGGATTAGTTTTGAGCACATCATGTTTTTCACAAGGACAATTATACGTGGCGTGCTCTCTATAAGTGGGCAAACCATCCAGTTTTTTTGTATTGGCTAAAGATGGGATAACAAAAAATACTGTACACTCTGCTGCATTAAGGGATTAATATTGTTTTTACTTTAATTTCATAATTAGTAGTATATATAATTTTAAAAAATTAATTTTAATAAATTATTAAAAAAAAAAAAAAAATGGTTGATGTTTTTTTCATTTTTATATTCCGTCACCGTTCACAGAAGTCCATATCACTTACACTTAAATACCACATTCAAATACACTTATATTAAATTTAGTTATTTTTTTCTAGCAAAATATTCTCTAGAAATAACTTATATGACAAAACAACC